GACAAACCCCTTGCAGAAGGGAAGTGAGACTGGAACATTATCTCTTAGTCTCTCCCTCTTCTTTTTTTAAATTTTATTTTAAAGATAATAAAACCCAACAAAACAAAACAGAATAAAGTCAATCGACACAAAGCAGTGATATTGGTGCAGAATTTCAAAGCAGGACAGCAGGAGTCCTTCCATCCAAGCCAGTGCACAGTCCTTCTGCCTCTCAGGATGCCTTTTCTGTACTCAGTGACTTGGAAACTCTGACCTTCCCTTCAAATTCCTTCCCCCTTCCCTTTCTTCAGGCTGAAAGCCTGACCACCACGTCCTGACCCTGCCTACTTCCTCTTCTCTATTACTGAGTGCGCAGTCATCGCCCGTGGAAAGGATCAAACTCTCAATCTCATAGTGACAATGAAAGAAGTGCTTATGGGTCATTTCTTTGCTTGCATTTTCTCTCTTGAATGCACATAAGAACAAGGTGATTATTGCAAATGGGTACTATAAAAACAAAGTAAAAACTGGAAAAAGATAGAAACCGAGTATGATGTTGTAGAAGATACGCACACTCCTTTCAGGTCTGACACTCATTTTCCAATGGGAGAGAACAGTGGAGGTGACCAGAGCTCATTCGCATCCGGCTTTCCCCTGCGTATGAAAATGGGAGGCTGCTCCTTCCTCTGTGCAACCACAAGGCCACATCCCTGGCCACGGACAAAGTGCAAAGGGACCTGTGGCCCTGTGAACTCACACACTGGAAACCAGGGAGAGACTTTAGAGCTCTCTTCCTCCACCACATCAACCCACCAGATCTCCTACCACTGACGGCAGAGAGGTCCAGAGCTGCCTCCACCAGTGGTGAAGCTGCCTTTGGTGTTAGCAAGTGTGATGATTTATATCCCAACATCAAAACCCCACATGCTCAAAGGTGAGCTTCTGAAAAGTGATGGGGTGTGGGGTGACTGGCTAGCAGGCTTGCTGTCAGGGGGACGGTGTTCAGTCTCCCTCGGGGCTCCTTCCTTCAATCCATCAGCTTCTGGTCCACCATGAGGTGAGCAGGCTTCTCTGCTCCGTGCCCCTCCTGGAAAGAAGCATTGGTCCCAATAGACCTCTCCTCCTTTAAGCTGTGAGTGTTGGGTATTGTGTCCCAATGACCGAAAGAATGATTGAGATAGCATTTTTGTGATACCTGATACTATGCAGAACAGTGTGCTGTAGTACAGGAAGATGGTGAGAGGTGTTTTACAGCTGAGCTGTATCACTTACATTTGAGAAAAATTATTTGTGATTGTTTTCATGGATCATTTTTCCCAGTTCCTAACCAATGAACTTACAGGTAAATAATAACCACTTCAGTGCGTTAATATGGCAAATAGACTACATAGTCAAAACATATTCACTCTCTAGCATTACTTCCGTTCTTGGTCCCATCTTTCCTTGGCCACTTTTCTCTTTCTACTATCCCTATCTCTTTCTCCGTCCCTCATGCCTTCTGAGAACAGTGATTGCTCAGTGAGCAGGACTGTCTCTTTCCTGGCTGGCTAAGAACAATCCCGGGGTAAATACTGCAGCCCTCCTCCCCTCTCCCCACCCCAGTCTTCCCTCTTCTCTCCTGCTTCAGGGCACTACTGTGGCCCAAGGTTCCACCCTCCACTCTTCCTCCTGCTTTGCCGTGGTCCAAGGACTGAGCCTGACAGTGTTGGGGATGTTGGGAGAGGGCTTTCATCTCTGAGGAGCTCCTTCTGGTTTTCTCAGCTGCACCCCCAAACTCTCCTTATTCTTAACAGGCAGCATCCCCATTTCTATAAAAGTTTTCTTTTTGCCTTTATCAGAAGCAATCAGAAGACTACCAAAGTCTTTGGCAAGGGAAAACTACAATAAGCTTGTAGTCACAGCCTGGACACAGCCTGGATCCCTGCTGCTGTGTCTACATCTGTCATGGGCTCAAAGGAACAAGATTTTTAAATGCTTTGCAAATGACTTAGCCTGGCTGCTTTTGCAGGTGCTGTGTAGCAAGATTATATACACACCAAGAGCCGAGCCGGGTGATGGTGCTATGTGCTTCAGCCTGAAACTCAGCCCCTGCTCCTGAGGGTCTCCTTCATTCTTAAATTTACCCAATTTCTGGAAAAATTAATCATCTTCCCCTCTAGGTATCAGTGCTGTTTCAACTGCAGCCTCCCTTAGCAGGCTACATTTGCTTTTACTCTTCAGAGTCCTTGGTCAACCATGAGTGTGTTTGGAAAAGTTCCTCTGACTCCATTTACCCCAGGACAAAGCCCACCTTAGCACTGACCTGGGCAGACAAGTCCAGCATGAACTGGAACCTGGAACTGGAACAGAGCAGATTGCAGTGTGGGCTCAGAAGCCATCTGCGCTGAAGCTGGCTGGTACAGACCCTTGAGAGCGATGGCTGGGGCTTCAACAGCTGAGCTAGTCAGCTGTCACCTTAGCCGTCATTTAACAAGTCTGACTTTTAAATCATGGGAATCTACGCAGTACCCAATGCTTTTGATTACTCGATTTTTGCTATTTTCTGTTCTTATGGGATTCTCTGCAGGTAATGGGTCCGTGTGGTGGGAAATTTGTGTAATGATTCACCACTGCATTGACTTTCCCATCTTTGCACCCAGGGACGTTGGCCAGGTGAGCACCTTTACGCTGTGGAATCAGCAGATGCTAAGGATGAGTCCCCAGGCCCCTGCAGCCAGCTGCCACCCACTTACCAGCACTGGTCTGCTGCCCCAGACGCCAGCGCCTTCCAGCTATGGTCAGCGAAGAAAAGGCGTGCAAGAAGGCATGAGGCAGAAAGATTGCTCACAGACGCTTCCCCAGGACCCTTAATCTTACTGCTCCCCTCCTGCGCAGCACCCTAAACCTTCCCTTCAGGCAGTGCCTTACTCTCCGCCACAGAACCGGGCCTTATTTTCTTCAGCCAAAGACTTCGGGCCACAGGAATCCTGGTTTGAGGGCGGACTTCTGATCCACATTGGGCCAGCTGTGGGCACTGAGGCTGCCTTGGGGAGCACGCATTGGAGTAACCAGGAAACCCAGCCTGCTGGATGACTGTTGTGAATCTGCCTTGTAAATCAGAAACTAAAACAGCCTGCCGGGCAGGGACAGAGGAGGAGACAGCCCCAAAGTCACAGGTACCACTTCCAGACTAGAATCGGAAGCTGCCGCCCAAGAATGAAGAGAAAAGAGAACCAAGAATTCATGCAAGAAAAACCAGCTCCTGGCCCAGTCTTTGCCTGAAACACTAGCCGTTAGATGAATAGGTGGATTTTCTTTCATCTAAGTGGGACTGAAATTTAATCTCACCCACTTGAAAAGAAAGATTCCTGTCTGACACATGACATGGCATTAATATTTTCAGATACTAACAGACATTCTTCAGGAACTGCAGAAGTCCCTGGTCTTCTGTTCCTACATGGGGCTCTCTAACTAGGCGGAAGGGCTCCCTGCACACCTTCAGGTCTGCAGATACCGAATGGTGCACCCCAGGATGGGCAGCAAGTCAGAAGTGCTTGACTGGGTCTGAGTAACTGAATCGGGGTGTAAATCAGGGAGGAATTGTACAAGAGGAGGAGTAAATCAGAGTAAATTCCTCCTCCTAACCTTGGCCAAGCAGCCAATTTGAGGCTATCTGTTGTCAATTGTGAAAGTCCCAGGGGGAAAAAAATAAATGAAGCAACAAGCTTAGAGTCTCACGAGCAGTCTCTCAGCCCCGGAAGGTTGTCATTTTCTGCTGGGCTGCAGTGACAATCAGCTTCCTCCTCGGGCTTCTGGTCGGCATAAACACTAAGAAACATCCTTCCGTGTTGTCAGGAGGCCAGATTTAAGCTGGGTAAGATTTAAGCTGTGCGGAGAATATGCCTCCCAACAAAACAGCTCCTCACTCAAGGAATCCCTCATTGTCTCCCCCCAGAGTCTAGGTCGTTCTCATTGTGTGCCCGGGAGTCTAGGTGGTTTGTATCAGCTAAACAGAGGACATCACACATGACAGTCCCGAACTGTGTTGCCCTCTCAGGCCATAAAGGAAGCTGGTTCCCATTGATTCTAAGAAGGGAGAACACCAGCTGGCCACTGCGGGTGGCACTCGGTCCTGTCTCGGAGCAGAGAGAGCTCTGAATCAAGGGACAGAGGGTTGCTCCCTGCACCTGACCCTTACAGCCACATCACTGTCCAAGGTAGGGGCGCTCATCTGCCTATGTGAACTAAATTCCAGCGCCACTTCTCAGAAGGAAAGCGTTAGAGCAGCGAGGATTTGAAGAAGCTCTGTGCTTCCTGCTGCCTTTCCAGTATGGAATCAGGACCTGGTGCATAGGAGATGCTCAAGGAACTCTAGAGAGAATGAGCAGCTTGAAGACTGTTGCCAATCCGCCTCGTAAATCAGAAACTAAAACAGCCTGCTGAGAAGTAAGGTTTTTCTTTTCAAATTAAAACAAGACTGAACCACAGTCTAATTGTGTGACCGTCAGCCCTTTGTTGAATGTTCTGCCCTTTCCTTTC